GTTGGGGTGGATGTTACATTAGGGCGTCAGGAGCCGCCCTTAGAGGGGGGGATATGTAATGTGGTGTTTTGTTTCATGTTCATGTTTTCCATGTCTTTTATTTTGTAATTGTTTCATGGTCCCTGTTTGTGTCATGCTTCCCTTGCCCTCATGTATTCATGCCATTGGTTCCCCTCTTCATGGTGTCATGTTCTGATTGGTTGTCTTAGTCATGTGTCTTGTTTCCCATTGGTTTGTTCTTGTCATGTGACCCTCTTGTTTCCTATAAGTAGCTTCATGTTCCCATTGTGCCCTCATCGTGTATTGAATGTATTTAACCCGCTGTTGGTGAGTCTAGTCTGTTTGTCAAGTCTGCTCATGCTGTCTGTTAAAGTCAAGTCAGTGTTTCTTGTTTGGATATCACCTGTAAATAAACTGCACTTGGGTTCTCACTTACGCTCGCCTTCAGTGGATGATTCGTTACAAAAACACACTTTCACTAGTGTCAGTAATTTTATATATTTACTAACAATGTCATTAGTAAATATACATGCATCACAGTTTCCCCCCTCAAAGTCCTGAACTATTTCATTACAATTTAATCAGACAATGACAAAATGAATAAGAAAGGAACAATAATTCATGGATATGTTTACACACACACATATACACACGTGTGTGTGTGTACCTGGTTTTCCCTATGTTACGCCTGTTTCACACATAGGCTACTCCGTCTGCAGTGCGTATGCGGTTCGTGTGGGTTACATATTCACGTTTAAACTCAATTAATATAAACCGCGTATTAAATGCATTTGGCTTCTAGATTTGTATATTAAAGGATATGCATATGATGTTGCTAAAATGAACATTATTTGGTGTAATGAAATGTGTTTAGGCGGTTTAAGGTTCAAAAAACACATTATTTTCCACATACTGTACATTATTGTTTCTCCTCTATGCCCCGCCTATTTAAATGTAGATTTAAGTGAATTTAAATGCAGATTTTAAATGTAGATTTAAAAATGAGATTTAAATGTAAAAGGCACTGTTTCTGTCAGTGGTAAATTTTAATTTAAAATATTTGTGATTACCGAACACAAGAAAGCTAAATGTTGTTTATATTAACTGAGTTTAAACGTGAATATGTCTATGAAAGATTGTGTAACTGTACTGTGATAAAAGAGGATCACAATGCTGAAAAAGCACTTTCAGTATAGGCTAACTATGTTTGGATTTGAAATCAAAATAATGGATAGATGTTGTGTTTGTGGTATACAGCCGCGGATCAGGAGCGGACTGCAAACGCGTCCTGTGTGAAAGCACAATGAGTCCGTGCTGCTTCTGCACCGCAAACGTAACGCACACGGACCGCAGACGGAGTATGTGCGAAACAGGCATTATGGGGACCAAAAAAATGTCCCCCACAAGTATGGTAATAACAATAAACTTTGACCTTTTGACCTTTGACATTTTTTTGGTCCCCATGAGGAAACAAGCTTATAAATCATACAGATTTATTTATTTATCTAAAAATGCAGAACGTTTTGTGTGAAGGGTAGGTTTAGGGGTAGGGTCAGGATAAGGGGATAAAAAACCATTACGTCTATGGAATTAACCCATAAAACACGGAAGCCTGTGTTTGTGTGTGTTTATGTTCATATCAATAATTACTACTTTCATAGTTCATAGTTTGATTTAAAGTCCATGAAATGCATTTTGAAAGTATTATTTAAAAATATATATAAAATGCACTGAAAGTCGGTCGGTTTTGAGCCACAGCCCCCTTTTTTTTTGTTTTAGTTCAATCACACACAAGTACAATTCAGAAAGTACAAGCTAAATATCCAGCCAGTGTCGTGAATAACAACAACAACAACAACAACAACATAAAATGAACATATACATTTAAAAAAATAAATACTAGGATAAAAAGGTGCTATATGACATTGGGGAAGTTACACAAATTTGAAAAGCTCATTTTTATTGTTTTTATAAGCTTCTTGTTTTGCGTGTCTCATATTTTCAAAGTATATTCTGAGATCAGTGTTACTAAAGTAACATGAGGGTTCCTTTTGAGTTATTTTTTGTGTAACGAATCTAAAACGTTGCTAAAATGATTAATGATGTAATTTTGCTTTTCAGAAAAACATGGATTTGGAAAACAAAGTAAAATGTCACAGAGTTCTAAATGAAGGGTTTGTTCGGTTTGAGCCACAGCCCTGGCTACAAACTTGTTCCAGTAACCCCGGAAGTTGCTTTCTAGTCACTTACCAGTCCTCTTCCGGAGCGGCATTGGTCGACCCCGCACTGAAGACGGATCTCCTCCACCCTTGACAAGCTAAACATTCATTTCTGTCTATTTCAAACGTGAGTTCAAGTTTTTTATCGGCTCCGAATATGAGTTTATGAAGTGTATGAGACCTCAGAGGTTGAGACTCTAGGCATATTTACACAGTTAAAGAAGGTCACTGGAGAAGAGGCTAGCTAACGGTAGCATGCAAATAACTACCGCTCTGTTTATAAACGTCTAATTTTCATACACATTCGCTTGAATTGCTTCCCCTAGATCGTGCGATTAATGTACCAACGTATATATTTGTGTATTTTATTTCTTGTACCTGATAATCCTATATATTAGGTGTGGAAATCTGTCGCAGTGGTTATAAAGGCAATAGTTAAGTGAGTCTCCTATTTTATTTGATCAGCTATCAAGTGACGTTAAGGCGTTTTTAAAAAAAAATATGTATGCATTTTATAAATCCCTAACGTTAATAATGGGAATAACAAGTGCGGTGACATTGCACATGTAATTACTGGGTCACACGACTGAGAATGTGGTCAAGAAGTCGCACGTTTTATGTGTGTTTGTTTTGAATGGACACACTGTGGACTGGCCTTGTTTGAAGAAGAGCACTGAATTGTGGTCATTTGAATGCGGTTTGGGTGTGTCAGCTGTTTGATGAATCTGATAGCATTGTGACAGCAGTAACCACAGCCCTTTGGTGTGGTCAGTGACTTGTTGTCATCTATTGTTTGGTGGTATTAAAGCGTCCACTTCCTTTTGCAGGTGCGTGTGAGACGTCTGTCTCTGCCCGCTCTGAACTCTCCCTGATGGGCTGCTGGTCCCGCAGTGCTGTGCTGCAGCTGTACCGAGCACTGCTCCGTGCAGGCCAACACCTACAGTACACCGACCGTGATTACTACCGGCGCGCAGTGACCCGAGAGTTCCGGCGCTGTCAGACCCTCAGCGCCCCAGCAGAGAGAGAGGACGCGCTGAAGAGAGGCCAGTTCTTCCTCAACAGCAGGCTGGGCGGGTTGGTGTAGAAGAAGCGGTCCATCAGCAAGAGAAAGTTTGACCGCTAGTCGGTAAGAAGGAATTTCTGCATCAGAAACATTGTAGCCAGTTTGCATTTGCTTGATGTTTTTATCATTAGCTAAAACTTCATTATTTTGTTGTCAGGTGAGATGACGCTAAAATAAAACATATTCTTAGTGTTTTTATTAGTAGTAGTATTATTATTATGATTGAATATTGTTATATACATATTAGATGAACACTTGAAATTTGAAAAATTCCCATGGCACCTAATTAAAATAAATTGAAGGACTAAAATGACTAACTAGAAATAAATAGAAACTAAACCTGAATTAAAAATAATAATACAAATTACAAAAGCACATAACAGAATTGCTTAAAGTTCAAATGAAAACTGAAAATATAAAAACAGCAATAAACGCTAACTCAGAATATTAATTAAAACTATAATAGTATTTAAAAAATAATAAAATGACACACTTCTGTACATGGCTCAACGCTAAGAATTTTCACTCTCCCAGCCCACTGTTTTTGTTGTTTTAACCCATTTAATCTTGCATTATAATAAATAAGGTTTTTATGACGCCAAAATTTAGATCCCAGTATAACACCAAGATGAATCCTTGTTAAAGCTCAAATTAAAAGCCATTCAGTCAAGAGATTTTCTCTGTCTTTTGTTGTTTGATTAACATTAATGACACAGATAGCAGTAGGTATATTAGGCTGCTGTCACTTTAAGACTGAATGCACAGGTCTACTGTGTGTTGACACACTTTTGATTTTCTCCCAGCTGTTTAAGGGTAAAAGGTCAAATAACTGTCATTTAACGTTTTTCATATATTTAACGTTTTCTAAACTGTCTTTCCCTCTTATATCGAGCCCTGGCATACCTGTTTCTCTCTGTCTAAACTTTTTACCAATAACAACACAAGCCATTTGCTGACATTACTAGAACGTGTCATGTGACATTGATTCACGTGATGCCATCACTTCGTGAACTGCAAATAAGCTCTGCATATTACACAACTTGTAGTTGATAAGAAAATCCATTTCTTGTCTTTTCCCTCTTTCTTGCTTTGTCTCAGGGAGGGGAAAGATCGATGGCAGGAGTGAACGGGGATCGGAAGGGAAAGAAAGATGACAATGGGCTTGGCACAGCGATCGACTTTGTGCTCTCTAATGCAAAGCTGGTGCTGGGAGTCGGGGGAGCAGCCATGCTCGGGATCGCCACACTGGCGGTCAAAAGAGTGAGTACAGGAACAGGTTGTAATGCTCTTCGATCCTAAGGGTATATTAAAGGGGTCATGTCATAAGGAATCACTTTTCCAGTGATCTTGAAAGCTAACTTCCAGTCTTTTTGAAAGAGCTTTTATTGAAACTGAGCAGCAAAAAGTCACAGTCCAAATGATATGAAATGGCAGATAAAGTTTAGTTTTAACAATGTCTCTGATCATTTCAGTTTGATTTTAGCACTTTGAGCATCACAATTCAGTGTGGATTATTTTATGAATCTGTCACAATGTAATTCAGCTTTGCAAAGATGTTGATATGGAAGGATGGAATGAAGTCAACTTTGTTTAATATCCTATGCAAGAGACCTGCACAAGTTCTGTAGCTTTTTTTTAAGTGTACCTCATGGGAAGAAGAAAAAAAGATCCCTTAAAGTACATACTTTGTTACCAGCACGGTAGATATTTTCATTATTATTATTATTAGTGTATGAATGAGTTTGCTTTGTCTCAGATGTACGATCGAACACTCAGTGCCCCATCCAGTCCCACAAAAGCCAACCCGTCAGGACAAAGAAGCTGGGAGGAGCCGAGCTGGCTGGGGTCGTCACCAAGGACGCTGAACCATGACATGAAACAGAACGTCAGCCGCTCTCTACAGACGCTCCCCACCTCCTCCAGCTCCTTCAAGCCAGGTAATGAATCTCTGGCGCCTTGCATACTTAACATCCTGTGCTTTTGAATGCAGCAGCCATGAGAAAATGTGTGCTTTTCAACTGTTTGTTTGTTTTAGGTTTGTTCCATATTATTGAAAAAGAGTGAAAAATTTAAGGGGGTCTGAATACTTTCCGTACCCACTGTATATATAGATTTGAGGCAAGTAATTTTTTTTTAATCTATTTTTTATTTTCATTCATAATTTGTAATTTTAATGAACCTTTATTTATTTATTTTATCCTGGGCCATCATGGACATGGTTTTCCCTGGTTTATCTCATCCTAACCTGTATCCTTATTGTTTACCAGGCTTGTACATATTGGAGTGTCTGCTCTACTTGCTCAGTGGGTATTTAAACCCTTCTTTAACTAACACATTGTAGATTTCTGTAGACCCTTCTTTTGTTGTATGGGCATTAGGGATATGTGTAATTATTTTGACTAGTTGTTCTGAATTATTAGTCGATGTGAAGTAAGATTAAAGATTGTGTTGCTTTAGGCTGTGTGTTGTGATTAAGTAGAATTATTCTACCAGGTTTTGAACTTTGGAAGCTGTCTGAAATGTTTAAGTATGCTAAATTGATTTCATATGTCTATTTTTTTGTTTTCTTATGTTTTTTTGTTGTTGTTTAGATTCTTTACATTGTGTTATGGGCCGTGGTGGTGGCTGCCCTGGTAAGGCTGAACTCCAGAAGGCACGGATGCGCCTCTCACTGCAGGAACACCTCTGGGCCTTCTTTCATGAACGAGTGGCGATCCCCTCGGAGGAGCAGGCCGTCGCTCGCCGTGCCGCGTTGGATATCTGTGCGGAGCTCAGAGTCTTTCTCCACGCCAAACTGCCTGATATGCCTCTACGAGAAATGTACCTGAGCGGAAGTCTATACGACGACCTTCAGGTGAGAACAAGGGTGATCAATTCTGAGAAGGGTGTTTTAATTCTGTCACATAATTAGCAAGAATATAGGAAAAACATGGCTTTATTGAAGTGCTTTTGATATACAGTTTGGGGTCAATAAGGTTTTTAATCTTGTTAAAGTCTCTTCTGCTCACCAAGGCTGCATTTATTTAATCAAAATACAGTAAAAACAATAATATTGTGAAATATTATTGCAGTTTAAAATAACTCTTTTCTATTTGAATTTGAAAATGTAATTTATTCCTGTGACTGCAAAGCTGAATTTTCAGTATCATCACTCCAGTCTTCAGTGTCACATGATCCTTCAGAAATCATTCTAATATCCTGATTTGCTGCTCAAGAAATGTCTTCTTATTATCAGTGTTGAAAACAGTTGTGCTGCTTAATATTTTTGTGGAAGCCGTGACACATTTTATCAGGATTTTTTGATAAATGGAATATTCAAATGAACAGCATTTATTTGAAACCGAAATCTTTTCTGTCACTTCTATCTTTTAATCAATGTAATGCATGCTTGCTGAATTCAAGTATTAATTTCCAATATTTTGAATGGTTTTTAATTCACCCCTCACTCTTCATTTTTCAAATTTTTAGGTGGTGACTGCTGACCACGCCCAGCTAATGGTACCCATGGTCCTTGAGAAGAATCTCTGGTCATCCATTCCTGGTGAGGACACCATCATGAATGTTCCTGGCTTCTGGCTGGTTCGTCGGGAAAACCTTGAGTACTTCCCGCGTGGAAGCAGCTACTGGGACCGCTGCATGGTGGGTGGCTACCTTTCCCCAAAGAGCGTCCTAGAAGTTTTCGAGAAGCTTGTCGCTGGCTCCATCAACTGGCCCGCCATCGGTAGTGTCTTAGATTACATCATCCGACCGGTGGTCCCATCAGAAACGCTTACACTAGAAGTGCAGTATGAAACAGACCGTCGCCTTTATGTGGACTTCCTCCCATTGCTTGTTATGGAGGACGGCGTCTCGCTGATCGCCAAACCGCATCGATTGGCCGCAGAACGGCATGAGAACCTGTGGCGGCAGAGTTTTCGCGTGGCAGAAACGGCAAAGTTGCGTACGCTCGATCAGGAAGACGCCGGGTGCCGTTGCGCATGTCTTAAAGTCATTAAAGCTGTGTGTAAACTAAATCCAGCGCTGGCACGATTAAACGCAAGCCAGCTCACTAATGCAATCCTTCTCCTGAGCAAACAGGAGGGCGATTGGACTCAGGAAGCTCTCGCCGATCGTTTCATGCAGCTGCTTCGTGCACTAGTGGGACACCTAGAGGCTGGGAGGCTACCCTGCATCCTTAATCTCAAAGTCAATCTGTTCTGTGAGCTAACGCCACAGGAAATAGATGAACTGGGATACACACTCTACTGTGCATTGTCCGACCCAGAGAGCCTTTTGAGAACTGTTTAGCAAACACACATTCACATATGCTACCACTTTTTGAGTTGAGCTGATACACAAACCAAAATAATGGCATCCTTTTCATACATGGCTTGTTCTCAGTAGATCATTTTTTTTGTCAGTCATACCATCATCAGTTATTTTCAGGTACTACAACCTCATCTGTTGGTCATATTTTATGTGGCCCATCTTATATCATTTCAGTGTTTTTGATTGTCCTAATGCACAGTGAAGTGTCATGGTGATTATATATTTATCTAGTGGAGAATCAGATTCTGACTTCAGTGATATTTTATTATAAATTCAAGCACCATCATCTCTTATGTGTTTGCTGTTACCCAAAATGCCAGGAGTTTCTATGGCGTTAATTTGACATGCTATATTTGATCTATGAAATTCATGATTTTATGTTCCGCAGTTATTTGTTACGTGGAACATTGTTCTTGGATTCATCAAAATACTTTCATCAGAGTGAATTTAGAGAAATATATATATATATATGGCATGGGGAGCTGTTTTAGATTAATCAGATGGCAGGTTCTCAAAATTATCTTTCAGTTACAAAATTTCCAGTGATTTTTCATAAACGTATTTCCATCTTTCTTGTCGGTTTGTGCCATATATGCAAATTACTTACAATACAAGGAGTGCTACTGGAGTATTGTTATGTTAAGATTTTTATTAGTTTATAATGTAGCATACAGTGCTTGTTTTCAGATAACGTTATCTTAATTATCTTTCAAAAGTCACACATAGAAATGTTAATGATGTTTAAATGGTCAACACGGGTTATTACCACACTGCTGAAACCAGATGAAGATAAATACCTGAATTAATAATCAAAACGCATCTTTAGAATGGCTATACAAAGAGTACATGTGATTTTTTTATTGTATTAAAGCTGCCTAGTAAACCAAGGGAACCCATGCAGACCTCCTTAAATCTATAGAATAATTTAAAAACACTCTCTGTTTAATGTTTTGAGGCTGTGGGTTATATGGAAAGTTTGGGTGAATCGAAAGCCGGTATTGTGTGCATCTGTGTAGATGTACATAGAAGCCTATAATAAACCAGACTTCATAGAGACATTTTAGTATTTTTGTATTGATTGTACAAATGTAACAAAAAACCAGTGTGAAAGTATTTATGTATATCTTGTTATAATCATACTTTGGGCTTGGGAGTGTGACGTTTGTTCAAACAAAATATACAATAGGCTACGTCTCTGATATGAAATGCCAAAACTCACAGAAAATCTTATGTATCGAAGCATTTATTTTGCTTGTGTAACCTGAACTCCTGTGTGATGTAGCAGAAACACCTAGCGAATGATATGAAAGGGCAGCACCGAATCCAAAAGTAGATCTGCTAGTGGAGTTCAACTTGGCCTAGTACATTGCATGTGATGCTTGTGTACTTGTGTCTTCATTTCCTGGTGAGTTGTATTTTTATTAAACAGCACTTTGTATCATTTGTTCTGTAAGAGTGTTTCGTGCCTCGGGTCTCTGGGGTGCAATACAGAGCAAAGGATGAATATAAAGTCGAATGGAGTGAAACTGTATTACAGTGTTATTGTGAATTATTTGCGCAAATCCAATAGCTGACATAGACCAATGTTTGGGGTCAGCTTTTTCTTTCTTTTTTAAGAAATTAAAGGGTTAGTTCACCCAAAAATGAAAATTAGCCCATGAATTACTCACCCTCAAGGCATCCTAGGTGTGCATGACTTTCTTCTTTCAGATGAATCCAGACGGAGTTATATTAAAAATTGTCTTTAATCTTTCAAGCTGTTTAATGGCAGTCAGCGGGTGTTGCAGTGCTTCAGTCCAAAAGAAGTGAAATAAAAAGCGCCCATCCATAAAAAAAAAAGTGTCTCGCATTAGGATTGGGGCGATGGACTATCACGATGTTAAGCTGACATCGTGAATCCCGCAATCCGCCGCATCCCAGTTCTGTGTTCGGAAAGGAAATGAAGTGTACTACGGAAACCCTAAAGGGAATAAATAGCCTACGAGATGGGAGGATAAAAAAAAATATTTAAATACTTTTTCTCGCAATTATATCGTTGGGTAAGTATAGGTGACTGTATATAAATTGCGGGCATCATGGGGGGTGAACAAAGGCCTCCTGTAGCCAATCGATGCGTTTTTGTAAGAAAAATATCCATATTCAAAACGTAATAATCACTTTAATCTAGCTTGCGCCAACAGTTGTACATGGAAGCAGCGCCGGGAGGATGACATAAGATGTCGGTGTTCAAATTCTCTGACATTCTTCTTTACAAATCCTTGTTATGTACTTCTAATTCGTGACAGTTTTGTTTTGATCTCTCCCCTGCGCTTCCACGTTCGTCACTTCTGAGCGCATGCGCAACGCCGACCTCATACGTCATCCGCCCAGAACTGCTTCCATTTACAACAGTGAGCACAAGCTAGATTAAATTGATTATTACGTTTTAAATATGGTTATTTTTCTTACAAAAATGCATCGATTCGCTACAGCAGGACTTTGTTCACCCCCCAGAGCCGCGTGAGGCACTTTTTTTTATGGATGGATGTACTTTATTTAACTTCTTTTGGACTGAAGCACTGCAACACCTGCTGAGTGGCATTAAACAGCTTGAAAGATCAAAGACAATTTTTAATATAACTCCGACTGGATTCGTCTGAAAGAAGAAAGTCATATACACCTAGGATGCCTTGAGGGTGAGTAATTTATGGGCTAATTTTCATTTTTGGGTGAACTAACCCTTTAATACTTTTATTCAGCAAGAATTCATTAAATTGATCAAAAGTGACTGTAAAGATTTTATGTCACAAAAAAAATTATATTTCATAATTATTTCTATTTCTTAATTTTTAATATATATCAGTTTCCACAAAAATATTCAAAACATTGATATTAATAAGAAATGTTTGCTGAGCAGCAAATCAGCATATGAGAATGATCTCTGAAGGATCGTGTGACACTGAACACTGGAGTAATGATGCTGAAAATTCAGCTTTGCATCACAATAATAAATTGCATTTTAAAATGTATTAAAATAGAAAACAGCTACAATATTACTGTTTTTTTACTGTATTTTTAAACAAATAAATGCAGCCTTGGTGCATAAGAGATTTTTTTTTTAATGTAAACAATCTTAACAACCCCTGACTTTAGGGGTTGCATTAGCATTATATTCACACAGTTTTTATGACTTTGAAATTAGATCTGTGCTGAAGACGAATCAGGAGACATATTATGCCCCTTTTTACAATATGTAATATAAGTCTCTGGTGTCCGACCACAAATCCAGAGTACTACTCATCTACCGGCAATTTAATCAATCTTTGTTAAAGTTTCTACAAAAATAATTAATAGCTTAATTATAAAATAAAAATGCATACTTTGATTTAATCTATTGAAACAGTGCAAAATAAAAACAAGCAAGTCTTCTAGGGGAAGTACAGAGCATCCCTAGCTAAACAAGTTTGTCTAATTTCCTCTTTCTCAGGCTTTGAGTTTCATACTTGGAAAAACACGTCCTGTCACTCAGGCATTTGTTGATTTTTTTATGTTATGTAGCATATTTCAAATTGCAATAAATGTAACAACTTCAACCAGTGCTTTCTGTATTGCTAATGGCCCATTGGGTCCAGTAAAATACAATAATGTGATTTACTCTTTTCATTTAGCAGGAGCGAAGCCCACGCGGTCTGCCTCCCTGTCAAACACAGTGTAGTAACGGCCGATAAACACATCTCCCAGAATCCACAGCGGCCCGGCGGGGGGCGGGATATCCATAGCCATAAAGCCAGACAGACAAACACTCACACCCATGTGAGTCACCTGAGAAAAGATAGAAGCGAGTTAAATTGATGTGAAGTGTTAAATTATTCAATGCTGTATTCAGTTCCAAAGTAGTTTTATTGACTGTCCTAAGATTCAATTAGGTTCCAAACATAAAAGCAACAGAAATTGTTTGATTTTCAGTGTGCAAGAAAAAGAAAATCATCCTATGCAATGTCGTCCTTGATGTAATTAAAGGAATGGTTCACCCAAATATGAAGATTTGCTGAACGTTTACCCTCAAGCCATCCAAGATGATTTTGTTCCCTTCATCAGAACAGATTTGGAGGAATTTAACATCAAAACACTTGTCATGCAGAATGGCTCTCAACAAGTTGTGGTGTATTAAAGTACTTAAATTCTTAAAACTGAAAAAAGCAATATTTAAAAAAATAAAATAAAAATGACAAATGCACAAAAAAATGTTTTTTAAAAAATCTAACAAAAACAGAATATTAAATTTAAAAAAGTCAACTCAAATTAATAGTATATAAATAAAACAACAAGCCTCAGAAACATTATTAGTTACTTTTTAACTAATGTTGATCTATTTTTCACACAAAGCTATATCAGATTTCTTTAGAGGCCTGTAGTGTATAGTCACTTTTATGGTTCTTGTTATTTTGAAGCTTTTACAAGTGCTTGCCCGTGCCATCATTACACTGAATCATTCATTCAATTGATTAGTTCAAATGGCTGAATCATTCAGGAATGAAGCAAGTGACTGTCTTTATGAACTGACGGAAATCCATCGTAGCGATGTAACTTTAATCCCCGAGATTGTGACTCCATACATCTCAGATAACCCCTCCCCTAACCGTTAAGTATGAACAAAGCAAACTGTGATTGGTCGATTTACCAAACCTAACGATTCACCTAACTTTTTTCTGCAGCAGTTTATTTCTGCTACAAAAGTGATATCACCAACTACAGGGCACTGAAAGTATATTTTTTTCAAAAAAAAAAAAAACCAACACACACACACCATTTTATTTATCCGTAATACTGAAGAGACTTTTTTGAAGGATATTGTTTTTTTTGTTTTGCAATTTTGAGATGTTGAATTTTATTTTGGTTTAAAAAATAAACGTGATTGCTCTCCTCACAAATCAACTCTTTCTTGTTTTTCCACTGGTGTGTCTCTTTGACTATTGTATATTTGAGCCTACATTTAATACGAGTAAAATACTTAAGTACTGTTAAAATCAGATAGGCCTTACTCTTAGACTTTTACTCAAGTTGTAGTGCAGTCCTTTTCATTGTAAGGTACCTGTATGGTTTTCAGGTACTCTTTACACTTCAGGTTAGGGCTGCACGATAAATCGAAATGGAATCGAGATCGCGATTCGACAGAAGCTGCGATTGTCATGCGTATCTTTCAGTGAAGCACGGTTCTGTGATCAGCAGTAAATCTCCATCCAAAGGCCAGAGGGCACTCTCGCACTGAAACTCCAAATACGCCTTGCAGAAGAAACCCAGAAAATCACTGGCAATATACGGTTTATCTGAGTTCTTATTATTATAATTTTTATTAAAATAAAGTAAATTTATAATGCAATGCCTTTATCACTGCTTAGAATAAGGCATGCAACATATTTCATAGTATTTGTGTAAGAAGCCACATCATCTCACAGAAGGATTTATTTCAAACATTCGACTGACGTTATGAAGTGAGTATGGAGTAAAAATATGTTATTAAATGTGGTATTTTCACATGCTTTCAGATGGAGCAGCATTTACTTCACAGAGCCATAGTTCACTGAGAAGCTATGCAAACAGCTGTCATTATCGCAAACGATTTCTTTGATTTCATAATCGCGCAATAAAATCGTCTGCAATGTTTTTGCGTAACTTGTCAGTGAACTACATTCTTTTAAATTATTTTTTATTAAAAAAATATAGATTAAATTCTGCTCCATCTGAAAGCACGTGATGATGACTTCCTGCTGATTACAGAACCGGCATTACTAACAAAATGCGCATGACAATCGCATTCGATTAATCATGCAGCCCTACTTCAAGTGAGAGGTTTATCATTGCGAATTTGCCGAGATGGTCCCCACTGCTGAACACAAGGTCCAGGGGGCATGGTTGGATCCAGATCCAACTCCTTAGACATACCTAAACCTACCCGTCTCCACCCCCTGATCCCTAAACCCACCCATCTCCACCTCTAAACCTACCAATCTCCACCTCGTAGATGTGGATCCAACCCCACCCTCTGGATCTTGTGTTCTGCAGTGAGGGGCTACGCATGAACGTCAGCTCCTTTTATTATGAATAAGAGTTTACATTTTTCGCCTCTCTCGTTTTCATTGTAGATGCAAGTTTACACCATGTTGCACCCCAGGCACGTGCAGAAAGGGGTGCTATGGGTGCTTGAGCACCTGCCCCTTTCCCCTTGATGCCTAAAGTGCCCTTTTGTCAAGGCAATTTAAATTTTTTGTAATTAAATGCCATTTTGTGAAGGCCTGCCCAATCTAACTACTAGTAAAATGAATGAATTATAATTTAGTCGTAAATACAATTATCCACATGATGATGACCTTTCACCTGACGATCTCATCAAGGGTTATCCCTCATGTTCAGACACCTTTAATGTAGCGCACTACCAGGATGCCTTCATAACGTCCGCGGCTGCCGGTGTAGTGCCGAAATTATGCACCCCCCTAGTATTGGTAGGTTTAGGAGTAGGTGTGGGGGAGGGGTTAGGATTAGGGGTGGGGTTGG